CGTGCTTCGTGAATGATAAAGTATGCCCGATTCCCGAGTCGGCTCGAAGTTCTCTAAGCCTTAAACACATTCGATCGTAAGACAACTCCCTAGGTCTCGTAGGAGATCGCTCTTTCGTTCTCTCGCGATAAAAACCTTTGTTCCCCCGGCGGGGCTGAGATTTTCGACGCGAATTAACATATACATATATGTATATATACTCGTTACATATATATATATATATATATATATATATATATATATATATATATACGACTGTTCTACGTGCGTGTATGTATAACGTGACATTTACACATTTGCCGAGTACGCGCCAACCCCGTTACTCCGTTCTGAGCGACGTGCCCGTGGATCGTAAACTTTATACATTATTGCTTTGCCGATAGCCACGTCACGTACATTTCGATCTGGCTCACGTTCGTCCCACTTCTGTCGAAATTCAACTAATTATGGAACGCGTTCCGCCGCGCTTAAGCTCGCTCCTTTTTCACGACGAAATTGCACACCCCCTAGCTCGCTCGCGACTCTCGTTTATTGGAAACATTTCGCGTTCGCGGAAGAAGGATCGAGCGAACGTTCCGTTCTCGTTGCCGTAGACGTAAACGTAAATTTATCAGGCTGTTTCATCGTTCCAAGCGACGAATAACACTTTGATTATTACTCCCCTGTTTGCCTGTCTCGAACAGCGAATCGATGTTCGTTCAGTAGAAATTAAAGTATAATTTCATTATTCGGTAACGTCACCATTTTTTACGTCCTGATGTTCCCGTGCTTTTTCTTTCGCTCGAAGTGGACAGCTCTTGGGCAGAACGTTTAACCGTCAGACACTACACCTCGCCTCGGAATACTGTTGCGAATTGGGATGTTGAAGTTTTGATGATTAAAACTTCAAAAGAATAAAAGCGAATTGAGCCGATAACACATTTTTGTAGGGTACAATTTCCTCAGAAATTCAATGGTAGTGAAGAAATAATTTTTGTAATTATGAAAATTTGAAGCCGTTGTGCTGGTCAGTCGGTAATATTGTATGTTAATTTTCACTAGTGTAGTGTCTGTGGCTTACGATTTCTCTTAAAAATCGTAACACCATTTTTCGTTCACATTCATACATATACAGATAGAAGACATTCTCGTCAATGTTGAATTTTCATCGTAATATCGATTCGAAGCTCCTTTGCTTGGTTGTTACTAGTACAATATCAAATCTGCCGATACAATTCATCGAAACACGTAATCTAGTCGGTAAAATTGCTGGAACTTTGTATAAATATAATGCTCTCGTATTCTTAGAATATCAATTAATTCGTCAAAATGAATATGTTCGAGAGACACGTGTTCTACGTGGTTACGAACGAACGCGAGCCAGAACCGTGTAATAAACATTCCTTGGTTTCTCGTTCCTTTTACACGTACTCACGCGCAATTAATTTTCCTAAATCGACGAAACCCTCTCCTAATCGGATTCCCGACGACGCACGCACAAACGACTCGTCGGCCCCTTTCTCTATTTTTTCATCCCTCGGTCGCGTTTCGTTTCTCCTTATCCGGTGCCGGCGGCCATCGCGGCCACCCAGTGTACCGCTTACACGCTGAATATGTCAGACTCCTGTCCTGTTTAACCCCTTCCCTCCTCCCCACGCCTTTTTTCAGCTTTAATCCGGTCCCTTTTCTGGCTAGACGCTGCCGGAAATTCTAAAGCCTCCTTCTGTGCGTCCCAGAATAATTTTTCCAGGGATTCCACGCACTCCCTGCCGATTTGCAACCGTTGAAATCGGTCGTACTTAAAGATCCAACTGGATGAAATTTCGTGTATCATATTGTCACGGACTCAGTTCCTAATCAAAACCCTATTCCTGATCAGTAGACTGTGGATAATTATGCAAGATTTAAAATTCACGCGATGTTAAAGGAATCAATATTACATTCTTTGTTCCTCGAACGGTTGAAAGCATCGAGTCGAAGGGGTACAATTATAAGTTAGTGATGTTAAGATCGAGAAATTCCAGGATAATCGGACCGGTGTAAGTTTTGAGAAAACAGGCGGGGGAGAACTTTGTCGTGGCGCCGGAAACTGGAATTTCAGAAAATTACTATTCGGCACGCGTCCCGACGATCGGCTGTCGAGATTATAATCGAACCGACACGCGGAACGAGGTGTTACCGCTGAATAATTCGAGGTCGTTGTATTCCTTGGATCGTTTGTAAAACGTCACGCGGCCGGGAGCTGTTTAGAAGTTTTCCTCCGGTTTTCCTGGTTCTTTCTCTTTTTCGCTGACAAATCGACCGTTTTAAAGCCGTGGGGGGCAGTGGGTGTGGGTGGGTGTCTCGTACTCTTCGAGGCCATCCACGAATCGTTCTGCTGTTGGCCCGGGCACGGAATTATTGGACTTCCGACACGATAATACCGACACACTTTATCGTGTCACGGGGTAAAACATAATTAAACGGACTGGATCCGGCCTGTCCCGGGGTCGAACACCTGACACTTTAACGCGAGCCGGCAATCGCCCCCCTGCCCTCCCTCTCGATCGACAAACCGTCCCGTTTAATTCGCCCCGGCTCGACCACGCGAGAGAGAGAATTTATTCAAATACTTCGCGCGTCACGTGGGACGCTAGAGAATTTTCCATGGAACGACAAGGCTGTGTTGTTGTTGTTCCACTTTCCTGCACCACGCGCGGATCAAGTGTTCTGTCGCGTCTGTCGATGGAACACCGTTGTACGAAATCCACACACACGCACACACACGCACACACCCGTGACACCTATATATGTATGTATATTTTCGTTCCGATCTAATATTCTTCGTCTTCTTTTTGTTACAACGCTATTAACAATCTACAGTTATCTACACACATGTACGTACACACATGCACACACACGCACGCACACTCTCGAGCCTCCCGCGATGCCTGAAACGCCCTTTAAATTTAGCTCTGAACTTTAACAAACACCTAATGGTCCGATACAGGAGGAGCGTTCGCTTTTTGCTAGCTTATTAGGTATACCATAAATTAGCGGGTGTCATTTACAGACTCTACGGTGCTTCTTCTTTATTTTATCTTTTTACACGCGTCCCCACCGTCACGCGCGATCGAGGATCGTTCCTCCTCGTGCTTCTTTTCTAATTACCTCGGACCGTTCGATAGTCGCAACTGACTTTCACGCTCAGGCTGGCGAAATGTTGAGAGAAAGAAAAAAAAAAGAGAGGAATCGACTAGATGGGAACGACGTGGATGGGGAGACATTGACGTCTTGAAGCAAGTCGATCGCGAAAGATGGGCACGTAATGCATTTGAGCAGTTCAAAGGCTTCTCGGATATGTCTGACCACGGATGGGCGGTTCTACTGAATCCCGAGCGGAACGATTTTCGGAAGGTCGTAATCGGGGGTGTAGTTTCAGAATATTAGATTCTTTCGTTCTTCGTGTAGCTTGTTATGAACAATCAGAAGTAATCTACAGCTTTAACTTATGAGTCATTTAACCACTGTAGTTTCGTCTAGAAATCCACCGGAAAATCGAACCAGCAGTCATTCGATAATTTCATCTGTCCTCTCGACCTCTCCTCAGCAAAGTACTAGTTTCCTCGACAAAGTATCAGTTTCCACGGTTAAAAGCTCCCAATCAATTTCTCAAAAATTCAACGCAGCGATGTTACGAGCGGTCTGGGTTAGGTCTCTAGAACCGTGGGACAGCGTGCGATCCAGCGGAGGTTCAGGAGATAATCGAAAAAATGCAAAACGCTGAAACGAGAAACTGGCATCCAAGCCCAGGAAGCTGGCGAAAATATTTCCAATATATTTCACGGTCGGAACGGGGCCACGGTTATCATAGACGGATTCTTTCGCGGTTCTAATGACCGTGGATCGTGTTTCCCAGCCGGCGGGCTGCCAATATCCTCGCTGATCCAGCAGCGGTGTGCGTCCGGACGTGTGTTTGGGATCTACGCCCGTTTCCCGCACATGGGATCCCCCTTATTATTGGCCACGTAAGCAAGGCGAAAGAGGGCCGTTTCCGTCGTCGCGACGGCGGCAATAAAAATTCTCGCGGACCGTGGTGGGATCGAACGTGAAACCCGGTTCAATATCGGTACTCGCGAAATAATAATCGATTCCGGATACCAGCGGCTCGTCGTCGTTTCAATTCGAACGACCCTTCACGGACGTGTCCCGTTTTCGTGTATAACGGCTCGTTCCGCGCCGCGACTTTGCGTGCGTCCGTGTAACGAGGCCGAGAACGTTGTGTCGAAAAATCGAGCGAAGGTACACTGTATTCCTGGAACATTGTCCGTGCGAGGATAGCGAGTAAAAGGAGGGGGGGGGGGGAAGAGAATCGACACTGGGCGACTGGAAGTGTTTGACCCTGAGGTGTTCTGAATCGAGAAAGATCAGGATACCTTGTTAATGGAAATAATAAAATTCCAACAAGGCACTCTAAACCTATGGACAGTGTTGATTAACATCTCAACAATGGATGAGAATAGTATCGACGTCGGATGTGGACGATGTAGGTTTAAGGGATCGTCGAATCGGGACCGATCTGTTTGACGAGAGAAACGATAAAATGAAATCTTTCGTAAGATAATTGTAGTATGAAGGGAATATAAGAATCGACAACGAAGATGAACAATAAAATTCAAATAAATTGCAATCGAACCTGAGCGTAGCAACGCTCCCGATTGTTCTCAGCTCGATCCTCGATCACGGCAACCAGTCGGAATTCTCTAAGTCCCTGATCCACGAGGCACGAAGATTAGAGCCCCGTTAATTAGGTGCGACTGCTCGACTCTGTTTCGTTGATGCACACGCCCTTTGGAGGCCGTCGGTTCTCTTCGAGATCCAATATAGTCCCGTCCCCGCATTCTTCGTTACCCACCCCCCAACCCCCGTTTCGCGTCCCCTTCCAGATCATTCTCCTCTAAGCGTCGTCCTCTGTTCTCCACGTTCTCTTCGCCGGGCGTTCAAGAATGCTCATTGTTCAATAGGAGTAGACGGTGGCGAGCGGCCCGTGTCACGAGGCGACCAGGCACGTAGACGTCGTCGATCGAAGCAGGCTGAGGAGCAGGAGGATCGCTACGAGTAGGGCGCTCGACGACCTCGAGAGACCTCCGACCTCGTTGCTGTACGGTAACTTGACCTCGACCTCGGCCATCTTGAAGATCGAGAGCAGGGGATGCGTGTGGACGTCGTGGTGCTTGTTGTTGATTTTGTCGCTGAGATCCTGCAGCATCGAGGCGCACTCCTCCTGCAAAGACCAGAAAACGGCCGATGTTCGTTAGACGGAACGCTTCGTGCGGGGTGGAATCGTTTTGGGAATGGCGGGAATGAAAAATAAACTCGGGCGGAATGTTGATGGTGGCGGTATCGCGAAACTTTTAACTACCGGGGGAGTCTGATTTAAGTTTCACTTCGGAACTATTTAATTGGGTTCCGGGAACGTACGATATCGGGACGATTGCTAACTGATTTCGTAAGGAATCGCGTGGATGTTTTACATATTATTCGGCCGGATCCTGTAAATCGGACCATTGGACCGGCCATAACAATTCTTTAAACAATGTGCACTACAAACATAAAAGAAGGTTTCTACATTCACGAGAACGGCCAACCTCGTTCTGAAGATCGAGCGATGCTTCGAATGCTTCAAGCGGCATCCGGTACATCGCGTTTTCCGTGGAAATGCGGACAAAGTTAAATATTCATTATACTCCTTCTTTTTTTCCCAGTCGTCTAAATTCACGAAGAGCTAAATACACAAGGCGCATCATCTTAATGACTTAATTAAGCAAGAACCCGCGGAGAATGATAACCCGGGGATACGGGGAATTTCCTTTGTAATCAAAAATTAAATCACGTTGTAATATTGTTCGGGGCGTTCGAGTTTCGTCGTCTTTTGTTCCACCGGTTCCCCATTGTGCTTGCCCCCCGACATTTCAGATAACAAGTGCTAATTTTTCCGCGGGCATCGTTGCATTCGAAGCCGCGCGCGCTGCCCTCTCGCGCGAGAAATTATGGTAAATTAACAATAACAGGATTCCTTTGTCCCGCCAGCGGAATGCTTCTTCTTCCCGGTTATAAAACATCTCGCGGTTTATTACGTCGGAGAAACTTGTTTCGTGTCTTCCTAGTTTATTAACCGACCACCCTCCCCCACCCACCACGCCCACTTTTCAGAAAAACCGCAATTCTCGGTTCGAGCTAATTTTCGCGAAGAGCGCATTGTCTGACGGAACAACGCAACAGAAAAGGAAAGCACAGTTTCTAGTAATTTTTGCTAGTACAAGCGGAGTCATCTCGACGGAAGCAGGGTCGTGCCATTTATACGTTTACGCTTTAATACAGGGTGTGACAGAGATAGTAGGACCAGCTTTCGAAACTCAGGGCGGTTCAGAGGAAAAAGGTCACGCGAACATGGAACGCGGTATATAAATACTCTCTTATTTACCGTGGAATTTACCAATTAAGTTTCGTTTACAATTTCAACCCACTGGTATGTTTTTCCGGCGACATCTCGTGAATCCGTTTACGATAGAAAAGAAAAAGAAAAAGAAATGCACGGATGAAATTTTCCAAATCCTCGGGGAATTTTAAACACGTTTGACGTCATCAGAAGCTAAAACTGTTCTTGCGCGCCGGTGAAAAAAATGTCCGGATCCGTGTTTATACGACCCTTCGTCGTCCTAAGGGCGACGTAGACTACGCGCTCGAAAAGTTTGTCCGCTCTAATCTCTGTTGCAGCCCCGGTACTTTTAATAAACACACCACGGTTTCTGGTCTTCACACCCTTCCGTATTACACTCTCGAAGTACCCGTTTAAAAATTCGCTTCTCGCCCGTAACGGTACTTCTTATCCGTTACTTTATTCCGAATAAATTAAAACAAAGGATTATTACAGCAGCAAAGCCTCTCACACTCTCCGTTACGGAAACGGGGGTTTCCCTCCAGTTGAAATGCGATTTTAATTCAGTCTCCGTTCGAACCCCCGAATAATTAAATCGCTCTCAAGGTCACTAGCGCATTAAGCCGGAGAACGAAGCAGTCTCCACCTCTCTTTGCTCGCTTGACAAACTTTTTCCATTGTCCCGAGGGAGAACAGCGACTTTCCCCGGCGTTTTCTTTAGGAGAGGGGGTGGTGGTATCCAGTTACCCATGGTTTCGACTTAACGGCGCCGAATGTAACTCGCGCGCCTGTCCTCTCCCCGGCATCGATTAACATTTTCATCCCTCCCGTATCATTTTCCCTCTCGACTCTCATCCTCTCAAACCCTTCTCGATCCCCCGTTTCTCCACGCCTCGCTTTCTTGTTCCTCGACGCCCCCGAAATTACCCACGGCTCGTTGAATCTTTAATTTCCGGCGGAGGAGGAACCGAGGGCCCAGAGCGATTTTTCGCGATATTTTGTCGTTGGTGGACGGGGCGAAGGGGTGTGGTGACTAGGCGCGGGAGGGTGCGTGCCACGTGGCTCGACCAGCGCGTTCCGAAACCCACGGCGACGTCACCGGTTCGTTCTCCGTCCTTCGTTCGCTCTCGAATCTCTCCGAGCGCATCGACGTCGAGGATTTTCAATGAAATTAAATTCCACCCGGAAGGAGAGAGCAGCCCCTTTCCGCCCATTCCAGCGAGTCGTGCACCCCTTCGAATAACTTTTCCGCGAGCACACAGAGAGAGATAGATAGAGAAAAAGAGGGCCCTTTAAATTACCGATGCGCTGGGAATTCGTTTTTCGAACTATCCACCTAACGCCGCCTCTGCGATCCATATCGATCCTCCGTCCGCATCTGCCGCTCGCGTCGAATTTTCCTACCCTCCCATCCCTCCACCCATCACACCTCCGTCTCTCGAGCGGTTCCGTTTTTTAAGGGAATATATGTATTTTTTTTTTTTTTGGTTTCAATTTTTCATCGTGTTTTCGGTGCGTACGTGTATCCAGTGTCTAGATAACGGATTTCCGCCAGAGAATATGCGATACGCGTAGAGTTTTTGCGCTCGACAAATTGGAGGGTGAAGACTTCTCCCGGTCGTTGATGGATGAACTTTCGAGCCCGGTTACGCGACAGTCCGGATGAATTCTGACGGCTATTTATTTCTTCTCGGGAAAATAATCTAGCGGCCACGTTCGGTGTAGTCTTCTTTTCGATCGAGACTTGCGGTCGTGTTAGATTTTTTTGTTCGATCAATTCTTCGGTGTACGCCACGGGGTGTCGGAAAATCGTGCACCACAGAATTTGTGAGCAATTTCAAGTGTTCCGTAAAATGAAATAACGAGTGATGTACCGTGTTATCAGATCGGCTTTAAGGATACAGATTTTTTCTATTTAACGTTAAGGATGTATCGGACCTATCTTCGAAATAGTATTTTCACTGTCTAAAGTTCAGACTCGTACCCATTAATGAAAAATAAAAACGCAAATAATGCTGGAAAAAAAAATCTGAAAAGTAAAAAATGTCTTTCTAGGAGTAAAAATAAGACTCCAGTTACCGTTTCAGTTCCTTACATATAGATTTGTTATGCATAAGGCGTAGAGATGCAACTAATTCAAATTTCATGCGCTTTAGTCCAAGATTGTACGTTCGATAGATCCTTAAGGGTTTAACTTTCGTTTTATTCAGTAGCAAATTACAGTCATGGGAACTAGCAAAAACTATAATAGAATAACACCACAATTTCTTCTGTAACCTGATCTAAGTGTAATATTAATAGGCTTCTTCTTACTGAATTTTAAAAGCCCAGTAATAGACTGCTGGTCAATAAAGTGTTAATTTTATATTAGCATAGATCTGCGACGGTCTGTTAATTTCGTGTAATTAATTTTCCTTTCGTATAGAAGATCTCATACACGCCATGAAATTCACACGACAATAGAAAGAATCTGTCGCAGGCGACGTGGCCGGTATTCGCAGCGTAATTGAATAGAACGGCCGGCGCAGTAGTAATAATGATCCATACGCGGTCTGGGTCAAAGCCCAGGACGATAATTCATTTTACATATCGGTCGTCGTTAATTGTACCGCAGAGTTTCTCGCGCGCGCTTAATTACCGAATATCCGGCGTAGACCGCGAATGTTCGTCGCGTGTCCTCGTCGCGCGGCACCGTCGGGGATGCCTTTCGAACTTCTGCCCGATGCGCCTAAGAACCAGCCGTTGTTGAATCGCTCTCGAATTGTATCTCTGTAATTAAGAACCCCATGGTCTACGGAATTCGTAACATAAATCCTGGACTCGCTTTAAATAATTCCGCGACTCGTAGAATTTCGAACGACCATCCTCCTCTCTGGCCCATTTTAAATTCTCCGAGCGATCATTGCAATTATTAACGAAATATCTAAATTTAAATTCGAAAATCAAGAAACTGCAATATTTTCGAATAATTTCTCGTTTGCTGAGCTGCAGAGTTTCCTCTCTTCAAACAGGAAAAGTTACCTTAACTCATTGAAAGCAGAGCATTCGTTGCATAATAATCAACCGGTTCCCAAAATAATGACACGCCCCCGAGGGGTGGTTTAAATCGATCCTCCGGCTGTTCGTTACCCCCCGCTGTGGTGTACGCGCAGGATATGCAAGACAGGGAGGGAGGTAGAGGGGGATGGATCTGTTTCATGCCAGCCACGGATCGTTTCCTTTCATCGCGCAAATAATATTCCCGATTCGGAAACCCGCCGGGTAACTAATGATGTTCTTAGGGAGATGGTACGCCAGGAACGACTCCTATTTATGCGAATTTCTACCGTAGGGATGCCAATCAAACCGCGCAATTACGATAGACGGTCTTATTCAGCAGCAACGGTGTCATTTAGCGTATCGCTCCGAAGACGTTGGGCGGATCGGAGCGAGTTTCGGTTGCAAAATTGGGGAACGACGAGAGGGAGTGCGACGGATCTGGAACACCCGAGGGTGGGTGGAGGGGTGAATAAAGGAAATCGTTGGGAATGAAAGGCAGAAGAGAACGCTAGACCTAATAAGTCCTACCACGAGACACCGAATCCTCGAAGTTTCGTGAAATTACAAATTGTAAGTTTAGTGCCTGTAAAAACTAATTTGTAGGATGGGTGGTCGAAATTGAATAGTCAGGAGTCGCTTGGAAACAACGCGAATCAACAAGAAAGTAGCAAGAGGAGCCGAGGAACAGGCGAGGTGAGTCAAAGAAACTTCAGAAAAACCGCAAGATAAAACAGACACGTGGGGCAGAAAATAAAAAAAAGTAAAAGAGATGTCTCTCGGAAAAAGGGGACGTGGAAGCGCGAGAA